ATCCTAAAATACAGAATGCTAAAGTTTTAGCAAAAGCTTTAAAGATAGTAAACAAAAGCCAAAGAAGGGTGGGGGGAGTTCATAACTAACACCTTGCCATTTGGAACCTCTGCGGGAAGTAGTTCACTTCTTAGGTACCCTCAAGAGCCAAGTGTCTGTTCCTCAGCTGCTCTGTTTTGCTCTCCTTCCTGTCAGAGTCAGGTGACCAGCCTGACCCAGGACAGAGACTTACGAGGAAACTTTTAAACTAACATGCTTGGGTTTGAAGCAGGTGGCCTGAATTCCAGCTCCAGGGTCAGCCTTTTCCGTAGAGTAGAACAGCATGAAAGAGTTTTTAAATAGTATTCAAACCCCAAAGCCGTGTGAGCCTCTGGAAGACTGGATCCAGTGCTCTGTGTGCATACATGTCTGTGACCAGTTTGTGTGTGTCTGCAGATGGGAGTAGATAACTCAGGATGCTTTGGCATCTTAGCTGCTGAAGATCCAAGCAGGATTTTCCAGGTTTGGAGAGGCAGGAACATGAGTAGGATAAAAGCAGAAGGCAAAAGAGTTCTGTGCCATCTCAGTTAGGAGTAGGTACGTGTGGAGACCCAGCAGACTTGGCAGTGGCCAAGCCGTGAAGAGGATTATGGGGGAGGGGCCTTGGATCACACTACCATTGCATCTTATGGAGTTATTTAATTCAATCTAGGTATTAAAAATCAAAGTTCTCAATTTGGACCAGCAGGGGCCATTTGTCCAACGTATACTGAGGCCCGATTTGGATCAAGAGCTGAGCAATTATGAGGTCTCTCAAAGGTAGATTTTTATATCACCCTGCAGCCAGCTGACAGTGTGTACTTTGGAATGGAGAATTTGGAACCCACGTCAGGGCCCAGGATTAAGAGAAAAAAAAAAAAAAAAAAACAGGGGCTAATATGAAGTCCCTTAGAACATCCTCTAAGTCTCAAAATGTGAGCATACCAGGAAAGTAAGGAGGTGACCCCAACTGGTTACCTTGTTCCAGCATTTTGCTACATTGATGCATTAAGGCGCATTCTGGTGGAACTGCAGCTTGGCCTTCTGCCTAGCAGACTGAAGGTCAGATTGTGTCTGGGAGATAATAGGTGAGAAAGGGCAGAGACAGACAGAAAGTAAAAAGATAAGACTCCCGAGACGAGAACGGGGGTGGGGGGTGGGCCTACCAGGCCTTACTGAATATATGAGAGCCAGGAAGGTTTGTCCACGGGTGGCCTTCAGCATATATTAGACTATTATTATTATTAAATTATTATTATTATTTCTGCCACGGCAGAAAGACAGAAGGCAAAAAGAAAGAGAGGCTTAGTCTGACCATGTGTATTCACAGCAAGGAGGCATTTTGTCACCTGTGTGAGCAGACTGGCAAAATGCCACAGAAGATGGGATTCGACCTCTTAAAGGGTCAGAAGTGATTTCCACAGTCACAGGGAGAGCTGGGATGTATCGTCTTTCAGCGGGGAGGCTATTGGTCACCACAGCCAGTTACCCATTTTGAAATGTATCATGTGATATTGTCTTAGTTAGGGTTTCTGTTGCTGACACCAGGACCACGGTGACTTTTAAAAAGAAAACATTTAATTGTGATAGCTCACTCACAGTTCAGAGGTTCAGCCCATATCACGGCTGGGAGCATGGCTGTGTGCCGGACAGACGTGGTGCTGGCTTCATCTGCATCAGAAGGCAACAGGAAGTGCCCTGTGACACTGGGTGGTGTCTTGAACACACGTGAGACCTCAAAGCCCACCTCCACAGTGGCACACTTCCCCCAACAAGGCCACACCTACTCCAACAAGGCCACACCTCCTGATAGTGCCACGCCCTATGAGATTATGGAAGCCGACTGCGGTCAAACTACCACACATGCTGTTTTGGTTTTCAAGAACTCTGCTTTGAGGATGGAGAGTTGGCTAGGGGTTAAGTGTGAGGACCCAGGTTTGAACCCCTAAACGTCATCAAGCAGGGTGTGGCAGCATGTAAGACTGTTTTTGGGCCAGCTAGCCTGGCAGATGCACCAGCAAACAGTAAAGAGACCTTACGTCCAATATGGAAGGTGAGGATCGACACCCGAGGTGTCTTCTGATCTTCACATGTGTTCTGTGGCACCATCACCACCTACACACAAAACCAGCAACAACAAAAAACTTTGTTCTGTGAATTCTCTCTCTCTCTTCTCTCTCTCTGGTTTTGCAAGATAGAGTTTATGTAGCCCTGGCTGTCCTGGAGCTCACTCTATAAACCAGGCTGGCCTCAAACTCAGAGATCTGCCTGCCTCTGCCTCCCAGGAGCTGGGATTGGGGGTGTGTTGTTGTTTTCTTTTTTAACTGTCGCTGCCCTTTCAACTGTGGCTATCCTAGTCAGTCCAGAGAGGGACAAGAGCCTTAGCTCTACCCCCACTAAAGAACTCAAGATTCGAAGGTTGAGGTTGAGGTTGAATTCTGTTCCCCAGGAGACTGATCAGCAAGCAGCTCATGCTTCTCCTCGTGTGTCTCCAGGAGCCCTTGTGCTTCTCCTCATCCCTCCTTATAAACCGGTCTCCACCTACCCCTTCCTCTCACCTAGTTGCTGATGCAACCGCCTGAACGCAGGTGAATTTTATTTAATCAAACACATCTTTGCATCATTAAACAAATGTTCCAGAGCATAAACAAAAGTAACACACCTTAAAATAATATTCTACAACAGCGTGTACCATCACAGCCCGGCTTGTGAATTTTCTCTCAATCCCTACCCCTTTTATTTTTTTTAATATTTATTTATTTATTATGTATACAATATTCGGTCTGTGTGTATGCCTGCAGGCCAGAATACGGCACCAGACCCCATTACAGATGGTTGTGAGCCACCATGTGGTTGCTGGGAATTGAACTCAGGACCTTTGGAAGAGTAGGCAATGCTCTTAACCTCTGAGCCATCTCTCCAGCCCCCTCCCCACCCCTTTTAAAACCACATCTTAGTCTCAGTTCATGGGTACAAGAATGCTAATAACAGAATTTTTGTCTTTCGTTTTCTTCTTTAACAGATACTTTTATTTTTTTAATTAAAAAATGCAAACTGTTGCCTGGAAGTGCCTGGGGTTGAGGACTTGTCAGTTATAGACATCTACAATTTATGTGTTTATTTGCCTGGATGTATGTCTATTACTATGTGTATAGTGCCTTCCAAGGCCAGAAGAGAGCGTCAGACCCTCTGGAACTGGAGCTATGACGGTTGTGAGTTGCTATGTGGGTTTTGGGAATTGAACTTTTATATTATATATAATTGTAATTATATTATATAATTATATTGTATATATATGTATGTATATATATAATTTGGGAAGCATTATGTAGCTCTGGCTGGTCTGGGACTTACTATGTAGAGTCTGCTAGTCTTGAACTCACAGGGATCCATTTGTCTCTGCCTCCTGAGTACTGGGATTAAAGACAAGCATCTCTACACCCCACCCACGGAGATATGCAGCTATAGTTTTTCTAATTGAATGTTCATTGTACATAACACCATGACATGATACAACTGCTAAGATTCTAATACAATCGTAGATGGCAGTAACAGAATTATAATGGTTTCCCATCTGAACTTGTCTAGTCCTCTGTGGGTTCTGTTTCAAGTCTGCCTACATCAGGAAGACAGATTAGAGTCTAGGATGTTCTCAACCAGAAGGTTCACAAAGGCTGATACAGACCAGTCTTGAGACAACCAATGATAGTGATATTATTCCAAAAATCACTTCCTTATACTCTTAAGTTTATTTTTATGATTTTCCTAGAATTTTCCATTAGGCCAACCAATACATTCTGGACATTAGAGACAAATCAACTGGAGAAAAATTACAAATTTAATAACAATGCAAATAAGTTCATAATGTATTGGGCTTTTTAAAAATAAGCTACAAAACACAGGTAGGTACAATTTAAACTCCATCCCCCTTTTAAGAAGAATATGTATATTTTAAGTATGAATAAAAGACAAGAAAGGTTGACAAAATATCTCCCAACGGCTCACATGTTAAAGGCATGTGGCATGGTTGGGATGGGGAGACAAGACTCACTGGGGGACTGGGGACTGTTGAAGGAGATATGAGGACCCCATCCCCCTTCTCCAAACACCAGATGGGTAGATTTTGCTCTGGCATCTGTTCCCGCCACAAAAGGAAAGAGGACTGGACCATGGAAGTCAGTTCTCCTCCTCATTTATTTTGCGTGTGTTCGTGTTTTGCTTGCATGCATGTCTGTGTGAGGGTGTCAGATCCCCTGGAAAGGGGTTGCAGACAGTCGTGAGCTGTATTGTGGTTGCTGGGTATTGAACCCAGGACCTCTGGAAGAACAGCCAATGCTCGTAACCACTGAGCCATCTCTCCAGCCCGTTTCCTCCTAGTAAATTAGCTGTCTTAGGTGTTTCATAACAACGAAGAAAAGCAGACTGATAGCAGTGGTGATGTCTGGATTGTAAAATTAGAAACACATTCTTTACATTTTTATTTACTTATTGTGTGTGTGCGTGGAGATCCATAGCAAGACCATGTCTCTAAATAAATAAACACACATACAAATAAATTGACTTCGTGTGCCTCTATAGAGATATTTACACCAATGCGACCAGGCGAGGAAGCACAGGTCTCTGCAGGATGCCTTGTGGATGCCAATCTGAGCGCCCTTAACTTGGTTATTGTGAAAAAAAAAAAAAAAAAACAAAAAAAACCCACTAAAATGAGAAAGGGGAGAAGGGACTGGAGAGCTGGCTCAGCCATTAGGAGAGAAGGATATTCCTGAACTGATAGATACTACCGAGTCTCCATGGCCGGAGCATGAAAGAGCAAGGAGAATCAAAAGTTTATCAGTCTCCCTAAAGAATGATGTCCAACAGTACACAGTCAGAAAGCCCTTAAACAAAGAAAGAATCCCAAAGCACCCGAGATTTCGGCGTTTTGCTACTCCTTGTGGCCTGCGGCACAAACGCCTAAGTATTGCTCTGAGGAAACAGTGAGCAGCGAAGGAAAGCCAGGCGGCTGCAGAATATTCTAAACTTTTGGCCAAGAGAACAAAGGAAGCCGAAAGTACAAAACCAAAACTGAACAATAAAACCCAGGAGCAGACTGCAAGAGACAGCGGCTGACCTCGCTGGGAGCTTCTACTTCAGAGTCTGAGTTCAGTCAAAAGTAAGTCTTTTTTTTAATATTTATTTATTATGTATACAATATTCTGTCTGTGTGTCTGCCTGTAGGCCAGAAGAGGACATCAGATCTCATTTCAGATGGTTGTGAGCTACCATGTGGTTGCTGGGAATTGAACTCAGGACCTTTGGAAGAGCAGGCAATGCTCTTAACCACTGAGCCATCTCTTTAAGAGTAACAAATAGGACTGGCGGTGGTGGCGCACCCCTTTACTCCCAGTCCTTGGGAGGTAGAGGCAGGTGGATCTCTGTGAGTTAGAAGACAGCCTGGTCTATAGGGAGAGTTCCAGGACAGCCAGGGCCACACAGAGAAACCTATCTCGAAAAATCAACCTCCCCAAAAATAATAAATAAAAAATATATATTATAAAATGTAAATTTATATTGTAAAATAAATAAATGAGGCCTTGAAAAAAGAAACATTCACAAAAGGCCTAAGTATATGTTTCTCAAAAGGTGAAATTTCAATATCTGATATAGTTTTAAAATCTAGATTTTGTTCTTTTGTAGTGTACTTCTATTGTTAATATTACATTGATTATCGGAGCGAATGAGAGTGAGTTTGTGTTCCTTAGCCACGACACTTGTGTGGAGGTCAAAGGACCACTGGCAGGCTTGGGTCTCTGTTTCCACCATGTGGGTCCTGAAAACCAGCTCAAGCGGCCAGGTTTGCCAACCCCCTGAACCATCTCACCTGCCCTATTACTAAGAGGCATCAGGGTTTCATTATGATCTCCTCATACGTGTAAGTATTTTGATCATCCATACTCCCACCCTTCATTATCTTCTCTCCTCCTCCCAGTCTGCGGCTCCCTTTCCTCTTTCTAACCCCCTTCACTTTCACGTGTTTTGTTTGTTTGTTTTGTTTAATTTTGTGGCCTATTGAGTTTGCTGAGGGTTGCTTACAGGAGCGTGGGTCACGGGTTGTTTACAGGATAGTGCAGATAATCGCAGCCATGGTGACGATCAAGTATACAGTAGCTTAGGGCTGGAGAGATGGGTCAGCTCTTAGGAGCATGACTTGCTCCTGAGGAGGACCTGAGTTCAATTCCCAGTACTCACATGGTGGCTCACAACCAGAGGCCACCAGGCAAGAACACGGTACACATACATACACCCATTTAGGCAAAAAACCCTCATACACATAAAATTAAAAAATAAAAAAAAAGTCTGCAGAGGTCACATCATTGCTGACAGATGCATTCCCAGTACCTCCGCCTTTTTATAATTTAGAAAAGAACATATAAATTTTATTATAAGCCTAAGATATGAGAGTATTAGACCCAAGACCTCTTGTGACTTAAAATGTTTAAAGAAAATGTAGCTAGCCAGGCTTTCAAAAAATCATTTAATACTACTGCAGAGGAGGAAACAGTAACAGAAATCACCATTGAGCATTTTCTTATAGTCAGGCTTAAGAAACTTGCTGTCTACACGAAGCCAAGCTTTACTCAAACCCTAAACTTATACCATCTAGTAATAGGTAGGCATGAATATGTTTACCAAGGCTCTGGAAACCCCCTCAGTCCCTTTCCAGTTTACTTCAGAAAAACCCTCTCACCATTTGAGCTGCCGTCTAGGAATTTATATCCAAATCACATTGCAAAAAAAATAAAAACAAAATCAAAATGCCCCAAAGAAAACCTGTGGAACTAACAAATTTACCCTCTGTGGCTGGTCTTCAAACTGATTATTTTGATATGATACACACTTTTAATATGCTTAATGAGTTATTAAAATAAAGAAAACTCTGCAGAAACAAGCGAAACCCCCATATCTGTTCACGTAGACGACACAGCCATGGCTTCCCTGTCTGAGTGCTCTCGTGCCCGCTGTGAAGTCAGGGCTCACATTTACCACTCTTTCGTTCTCATCTTGTTCAGTTTTGTATGTTTTTTTTATTATTACTCTTGTTAAAAGTGTAACTTGTTTCTTTAAAAATATTTGTTTTCAGGAGGTGGTGGCACATGCCTTCAATCTCAGTACTTGGGAGCCAGGATTACACAGGCAAACTCTGTCTCAAACAAACAAACAAACAAACAAAGCTAAATAAATAAATAAAAAATATTTGTTTGTGAGAGCTGGAGAGATGGCCCAGTAGTTAGGAACAATGACCGTTAGTAGAGAGGACCCAGGGTTCAATTCTCAGCACCCACATGGCAGCTCATAAATGTCTGTAATTACAGTTCTAGGGCACCTGATGCGGCTTCCTTCCTGTCCTCCCTGAGCACTGCAGGCACACGGTACACAGACATACAGGCAGGCAAAACACCCCTAGGCATAAAATAACAATAAAAAAATCTGAAACCATTTGTTTGCTGCAAACAGTAGGAAAACTACAAAGCAAAAACGCAAAAGTCACCTAAAACTTTACCCAGGAGTGGCTGAGGATACGGCTCAGAGGGGGAAGTGTTTGCTGCTCGGGCTTTTAAGGTCCTGCCTGCAGCCCCTGTGCTGGGAGTCACAGGCATAGCCCACAGGGTGCTGGGCAGCTTTCCAACCAAAACAGTGAGCTCCAGGGTCAGTGAGAAATCTCTCAAAAATAGGTGGGCTGCTGGCACAGTGGCACATGCCCTTTATCCCAGCTTTCAGGAGGCAGTGCCAGGCTGATCTCTACCAGCCTGGTCTACATCGTGAGTTCCAGGATGGCCAAGGCTATGTAGAAAGGCAGACAACTGTTGTCCACCTCTGGCCTCTCCACGGGTGCATACCAGCACACATATTTACTTTAGGATTAGAGATGGCTTCATGAACAAACTCCTCTCTATGCAAGCATGAGAACCCGAGTTTCACCCCCAGCATCACGTGAACTGGGCAAGTGACAAATACCTACAATCCCATTGCAGGGGCACAGAGACAGGAGGGTCTCTGGGATTGGCTGGTCAGTCACTCTAGCTGAGTGAGTTCCTTGAAGGGAAGATGGGGAACCTGAGACCTGAATGTGGAGGTCCCCTAATGTCTTTATTACCTCTTACCATAATTGACTGTGTTTGTTGGTTGAGTTTTTGTGACTGTGAGCCACTGTGTGCGTGCTGGGGTTCGAACTCTGGTCCTCTGTAAGAGCAGCTGGTGCTCTTAACCGCTGAGCCCTCTCTCCAGTCCCTTGTTTTGTTTGTTTTGTACCTCTCTCTAAGCTCTAAGACCTGGTCAGCTCTGTCAAGGCTGTAGGTCCAGGATCTAGAAAAGTAGATGCTCAGTAAATATTTATTGCTAGAAGGAGAACCTGGGGTGAGGTGCAAGCTGGGCCCAAGGCCCTAAGCGGAACCGGTTGTTCCAGTTCCATTAACAACGCATCACAGGCTTTGCATTGGAGTGAGTGGATGAACCCAGCCTGTCAATCTTCCAGGGTACCCAGCAGTCTTGGGTTGGTGGGGGGGAGCTCTTCCTATGTCAGAGGTGTACCCCCAAGGTCTGAGTCAAAGCTTAAAATTACATTTTCTTATGAGGCTTTAACACCTCAGAAGCATCCAATCCTTCTTAACATCCTTCCCCGTAAAAAGGACATAGAAACAAAATAAAGTTAGTGGAAAATTCCAGTTTCTCTCTCCATCTGATAAATAGGATTAGTTAAGACAGTCATAAAATGTCACTGCCTGAAATAGTCTCCTGGTGTCTATAAAATAGCTCAGCCCTTTTACCAGGCAGAGGAAGAACACCAGGCCTGGGAGATTCAGCGACTGGCCACTGTGGACAGGGGGTGGGTGCGCACCCCACCACACAGAGCCTTTGCTATGATCAAATCCCCCTAACCAGAAGTCAGAAAAACCACCGCTCCCTATAGAACTCCCATCTATTATAACCCACTAGTGTTATAACTCTCTCGGCATGTACGCACACATACGTGTGTTCAAACCCAGGACCTCTGCATGCTAGGAACGCTCTCAGACACTGAGATCCAGCTTTGGGTTCTGCCTCCTGGTGCTGAGCTGGCTGGAATGCATACAACCTGCCGATGCCAGCTTTAGAAACAGGATTGCGTAGACACTGCCATCTCCCTTGCCCCCTTCCAGGAGGATGATTGCAGAACAGTTAACTAATGGATATAGGACTTCAAGCAAGATGGACTCCGGCTGGTCCCTCTGTGACACTATAGTTCTCTTGGATGGAGGAAGTCCATGAAGACTCTGCAGATAACCATGCAGCAAACAAACTAGCACCTGCTGAGTAAGAATTCTATGTCAAGGTTTTCTGATCGGACATTTGCCTTTAAATTGAAGTTTTTAAATTTAGTTGGTTTAAAAAGAAATACAGTTATAAGTTGGGCCATGGTGGTGCACACCTTTAATCTCAGTACTAGGGAAGCAGAGGCAGGTGGACCTCTGAGTTAGTTGCCAGCATGGTCTACAGAGTTAGAGGATAGTCAGGGCTACACAGAGAAATCCGGTCTTGAAAACAAACAAACAAATAGAAATTACAGTTATTGGGGCTGGAGAGATGACTCAGTGGTTAAGAGAATTAGCTGCTTCTCCAGAAGACCCATGGACCTCACAGTAAGTGGAAGTTAGTCTGCGCTGTCCCAGACCTAGATTTAAGACGCCAGGTTTGCTTTGGGAGGTGAAGGGAGCGGTTGTTTTAGCAGTTTTTAACTTTGGTCCTGAGACTGAACCATTGCTGGAAGTCATTTCAAAGTGTGCGACTGAGAAAACACCAGGCAGGTGGCCCAAGTTTCACGGCTTGCACGGGACAGTGAAGCCTAATGGTCCCTTCTGCATCTGCAGGCTTATTTTTGGCATCCTCTTATAGTACGAATGAATAACACTGCTTAACCGGAAAGCCCCCAGAACACTCATTCAGCAACCAAACCCTGTCATCTTCATTCTTTCGTTACGACAGTGCAAAGAACTCATGTGCTGAAAGCAACTTCAGCAAACCCCCCCCCCCCCAGTTGCCGTTTTATTAAGAGAACTCTTTCATCCATGCTTTCTGCCAACAGATTTGCAAGCCAAACTTTGGTTCCCCACACCCTGCTGCATGTCTGGAGAAATC